TTTCTCCTGCAAGTCACTCCCTATATCCAGATAGTGAACTATGGCTCCAAAGTAGTCTAACCTCCTACTCAGAGCTTTCGCAACTACATTGTACTTGCCCTTCACAGGCTTGAGCTCAAAGTCATATCGGTCTATCTCAGCGGCCCACCTAGTCAACTTAGGTGTCATCTTGGCCTGTCTTCAACCATCTAAGAGTCTCGTGGTCGGAGTACACTTTGAAGTGCCTCCCAAGCAGGTAATGCTTCCAGTGCTCTAAAGCCTGCCTGAGAGCGTAGAGTTCCCTCTCATACGTTGAGGTAGCAACCTTCTCTGAGGGCATCCTCGCTGACATGAACTCTACGGGTCTATAGCCATTGTCGTCGTCCTGATGTAACACGACGCCTATACCATACTGACTCGCGTCCGTGGTGACGACAAATGGCAAGGACGGATCTGCTACTTTGTGGACAGGATATTCTATTAACGCGCGCTTCAACTTCTTTAGCGCGGATGCACAATCTTTATTCCACTGCCAGATTGCGTCTTTCTTGAGCAATCTGCGAAGGGGAGCAACGATGGTCGAGTAGTTCCTTACGAACTTCCTGTAGTAATTAGCTAGGCCCAAAAATAACCACAACTTTGTCAATGTGTGGGGCGTCGACCAGTCTCTAATTGTCGCTATCTTACTGTCCTCAGGCTTAATGCCATCTCCGTCTAACACGTGGCCCAAGTATAGAACTTGTGCCTTGGCCCACTCGCACTTTTGTACCGAAAGGGCTGCCTAGGACTGGGACTGCTGACTTAGTACGGATCGACTCCACCACTTGCCTCACCACTTGCCCACTTGCCTCAGCCTAACAGTGGGAAACTCCGAAAGGCCACTACTCGGACCTTCCGAAAGGTCCGAGTAGTGGCCTTTCAGAGGTTTCCACTCAATGCAATGAGACTCCCTCTCATTCACACTCTCATGCATGCAAACAGGTACGCAGCAAACTGGCGACAAGCGCCCACTCAGAACTCAGGGATATGGTAACTGAGAACACAGTTAAGATTCAAGTTCAGTCCGACAGCTATGGCGACTTAGCGCCCACACAACTTTCTGTTCGCATACACTGGATCACCCTGGATACCCCACACGCGATACTCTGAACATCAACACACACTCACTCTGCACTCCACCTACAGCTATGGCGGCTAGAGCCGCTACTACCCTATCGCTATGGCTAACTCCTCTCTCGCCCACTTCGGCTTCGGGCTCTCTGCAGACCTCCTTGCACAAGTCGCTTGTGGCATCGCTTCCCCATGGCTCACGCAGGAATGAATGAATGACTGGGCGCTGCCTCTTGATTTATACTTCTGCAGCTCGTTGGTCTGGCCCTTTCCCATGCGCGAAGTGCACACAGTCCCATGTGGTACTTGCTTGACTGGACCACGACTGCCTAGGACTGGGACTGCTGACTCAGTACGGGTAGACTCCACCACTTGCCTCACCACTTGCCCACTTGCCTCAGCCTAACAGTGGGAAACTCCGGAAGGCCACTACTCGGACCTTCCGGAAGGCCGTAGACGTGGCCTTTCGGTACTGTAGCAGCTACGACCTTGACTCTTCGAGAAGGCTACAGCTACGACTTCTAGACCTGACTGGGACTCCTACTCGACAGGTCTACAGATCGAACCCCTGCTACCTATGGACCCTACGACAACATACCAACTGTTACAAATACACAGGTCGCAGGTTCCACTCTAGGGGTCAACACAGATACCGTACACAGGTAAGTTGGGGGCTACAGATCGAACCCTGGGATTTGCCTCAGCTACTGCGAACTGGTACCATTTCATTGGTTGCTTTTAATCGTTTATTTATGTAGATACTATTAATATGTCGAGTTCTAATTCTGGTTATGATTAAAATTAGTACGTATTTGGAAGGTATTTTAGAACTGAATTGTATCTAAGAATTTAGTTGGCCTTGGAAATAATCTTAGGGTTAATTGCGAAATTTTCGTGAACTGCCTTGGGGCATTTTCGAGATTTGTAGTTTACAGCCCGCTGTTCTGTGCCATTAGTGTTTCGATTTTAGAAACATGCCGGTGTTCTTTGGTGTAGGAAGGATATTATACTGCTATAGATTGGTCCTGCAATTTTTCATTTTGGAGATTCCTTTAAGGGACACTGGATCCGGTTTCCAGTAGCCTAAGCTGAGTATTGGCCTCAACAGCTGTGTACCGGGTTGATATGTAGGGGTGTGTTCCCGGGCCCCGGTGATCTCATTGGAATAAAAAGTGCTATGTTTCTCCAAAAAAAAAAAGAAAAAAAAAAAAACGTGCTCAGCTACTTAGTTTTTTTTTTTTTTTTTTACTTTTGACTTTCTGTTGTGATTTAATTTTGGTGCGTCAAATGTTTTATTATTTTTTGAAACTTTTTGCATGAGTTTTGTATTATGTGAAGCACACATATGTAAAGTTGCAGGGCATTTGGCTGTGCCAAAAAAAAATGAAAACTCGCCAAAGATGGCAGTGTCAAAAATGGGCTTGCACACTCGCTAATTTAATTCTGTAATTTCTCTTTTTATTTTTTCTTATTTTTCTTATTAGTATTTATTTTCCTCTTTCTATTTTTTAAATTTCAAAGTTGGTAAGGAATTTAAATGTTTTGCTCAGGCAAACGTTGTTTAGTTTATTTGTATGCATAACATGTGTTTTTTTCAAATGTTGTTGATTTTTTTGATTTTTTTTTTTGTTGGGTCCGTGTTCACCCTGAATGGCCGAATGCATCCCCAAGGGGTCCCGTAGGTTCGGGCGTTGGGGTTCGGGCGTTCAGCCCGTCCCGAACGCCGGCCACCCTATAGAGTTTTCCATTTGGTGTGGGTGAGTGATAGTCTACTTTGATTTTGGTTAAGGTGGATGATCACTTACAGTGTAATCAGTGAGGGGATTCTACAGACTGTTGAGGGTTCAGCCTGCTGATGAGTCGGTGACTCCGAGGAAACAGTTTGTCACAGCCCCTCGTTTGTTGTCCTCTTCTCCCTCTCTGCCTACGGTTTACCGGGCAGTTCTATTTGACGATATATATATAGACGATACATGTATACTCGTGAAACATAGTCATAAGTATGGCGCAGATTCCTAGAACCGACCAGATAATACAGAGTTGATACAAATGCAAGCGGAAGACTTGAGATACCTTGGACTGACTCAGACCTGACTCGGACTGCAATCGAACACTCTCAAAAAAAAAATCAGGGGTGTGAATGCCGTGGCCTCAGACATAGACGAAAGGCCAGGGACCAAGGTCATCCACGGACGAAGGGAGAGAGGGAGAGACGAAAGGAGGAGGAGAGGGAAGATGACGTCAACTCAATGTGTCCAAAGATAGTATCTTGAATTGTCAGAAGTGATGAAAATCCGAAATGTCGCAAATGTCAAGTCTCACAATATCTCAGATATCGATCTCACAACGTCCAGTACACCTTCAGAAGGAAGATGAAATCAGATCCCAAATAGTCCTCGAACTCGGTAGTCCCAATGTTGCTGTCTCATATGTCATCAGAACTCGTAACCATCTCCCATACTCAAGTCGTCCCGTAGGAGGAAGTAGAAGTACAGTGAGAAGGTAGGAGGGAAGAGAGAGAGAAGAGGGGAGCGGTAGAGGAAAGGAGGGAGAGAAGGCGAAGCCTTCCTACCTGATACCTGGCTATGGCGCTGCAAGGGGGCTGGGCCGGTAACTGGCGAGGCGCCCAATGCTGCACTAATCCACTCTCCGCTGAACCTTGCTCTCTCCTGCTCCTCGCTGCTGCAGCGCTGCGCTAATGGAGCTAATGCTGGCTGTTGCGCTAACCCTGAAGACTAACCTCCGTCCATACTAACTTACCCGACTGAGGCTGGTATCCAGCCTTTTGTAGTGTTGGGCCGGCCTCTTGCCTACTGGTACCTACTGGGCTGGACCGCTGATCTGAATCGACGGTCCAGATTCAAACTGGGTTTGGCACCAAAATGTGGCAGCCTCTGAAACGCCGCCGGTTGGTCCTGGGCTGGACCGGTATCGGCCTCTAGCCGTTTGGGCCTAAACGTGCCCTGCCTCAGGCCTATCTGGGCCTGGTCTAAACCGTCGTCGCCCTAGGCTTACCCTGCGTACTGGGAACCGGGCCCTAACTGGGGCCAGTGTGGCTCAGTATGCCACACACTCCCCCCCTTGAAAGACCGAGCTAACTGCGAGGGCGAAGCTGTCTGTCCGATGTCCGTACTGGGCGGGCAGGTTAGGCAGCTTCCTTAGCAAGTCGCTGTTTTTCGTAATGCGCGAAGATGAGGGGTGTTGTCGCCTTCAGATCAGCTCTTGAAATCCAGCGTGTGTCGTTCGGATCGCATTGCTTGAATGTAACTTTGTACTGCATCGGCTTGTTGCCATGTTTGCGATGTGTGAGAACGCGGTCGACCTCCTGATGGCCATCCATGGAAGGAGGGTCTTGTGACCGTCTGCTCGGGAAGTCCGCTGCGGAGGCTGGAGTGTAAACCGCCAGCTTTGAAGCGTGAAAGATCGGGTGGACCGTCAAATGCGGGGGAATCTCAACGATGAACGATGGACCCGTGGGGTTGTCGCCAGCTGCTGAAGTGACCATCCATGGTCCAAACCACTTAGGGAGGAGCTTGCGCGAGACGTCCTCCTTAGCGCGAATTCCTCGGAGGCGACCCTGACTAGGTCGCCAGTGCGAATTGGACATGGGATGCGGTTCGCTTGCTGTTGCGTACGGACCTGAGCCTTTTGAATGTTTGCGCGGGCTTTGGCCAGCAGTTCCCTGTACTTCCGTGTAGAAGCGGTGGAGCAAGCGACGTCTATATCGGCAACCCGTGGAAGCAAAATGTCTGCGAAGATACGTCCTTATAGTGCAACTCGAATGGAGTCACGCCAATCGTCGGGTGCACCGAAGTGTTGTAGGTGAACTCGATGTCGGGAAGGCAGTCAACCTAGTCCTTCTGATCCGGGCGGATGAGTGTGCGGAGCATCATCTGCGCAGTCTGGTGCGCACGTTCCGTTTGCCCATCCGTTTAAGGATGCCGTGGGGAGCTCGGTTTCATGTTGGTGCTGGATTCCACCATGAGTGTCGTCCAAAAGGCCGACTTGAAACGAGTGTCGCGGTCGCTGACGATGTCTTCCGGAACGCCGTGGCTGCCAAAACAGCCGGTTCGTGCGAGCTCGGGAGCCGTCGCATGATACTTGCATGGAAGAAATCGTGCGTACTTGCTCAAACGGTCAAGGACCGTGAGGATACCATCATGACCAAGGCGATCGTGAGGGAAAGGACCGGTCACATCCATAGCAATGGAGAGACCCGATGCTCGAGGAATCGGCAATGGTTTCAGTTCGCCATAAGGGAGCTGATGGCGCCCTTTGTTCCGGTGGCAAACTGCACATGACTGAATATACCAGTTGACATCGCTGATGATGTCTGGCCAGTGAAATCGCTGGCGGAGTCGTGCTAGTGTGTGTGCGACGCAAAGGTGTCCTGCCAGCCGCGAATCATGGTATTCGCCAAGGAGGCGAGTGCGCAAGATGCGGTCTTGCGGAACACACAACAAGTCCTTGCCTCGTGTATGAAGAAGCAAGTAGCCGTCGACAATGCGATAATTGCTTGTCGGCGATTGGTCCGATGATAAGTCCACATGGAGTGTGGAGAATCCCCGATCCGACTTGTAGCCGTTTACGAAGTGCTGTTGCAGGATCTCGTCGAGGCCGAATGTGGAGTGCACCAAGGCGCAAAGATCAGGTCTTCGCGAGAGAGCATCCGCTGCCTTGTTCGAGGAACCCGAAATGTGCTTGGAGGTGAAGTCGAACTGGTCAATGAAGTACATCCATCGACCGATCGTGCTGCTCACCGTGTCTTGCATCTTGTAGTACGTCAAGGGATTGTTGTCCATTACCCACATGAATCGCCGACTTCCGAGGAGAAAGTGACACCAACGCTTAAGTACGGTGACAAAAGCTAGGAGTTCCTTCTTCCTCGCATCATCAAGAGTGTTGATGGACGGCACCTTTTGGCTGAAGTACTCAACCGGATGCCAATCTGTGTCGTCATGTTGTTCCAAAACCGCACCAATGCCGTAACCTGAAGCGTCCGTAGTCACTTTGGTGGGCAAAGTCGGGTCGTAGATGCTTAAGACGGAAGCTTGAAGCAAAGTCGTCTTCAGCGTGTGAAACGCATGCCGGGCCTCGTCGCTGAACTCGAAGGGCACCAAGGGGGACCGAAGTCGCGACAATGGTGCAGCGATACGTTGAAATCCATTGACAAAGCGCATGTAGTACGATGCCAAGCCGAGAAAGGAGCGGACGTCGATAGTACACTTGAGGTCTGGCCAATCTTGAATAGCTTGTACCCTGTCCGCAAGCGGACGAATGCCTTGCGGCGTGACGTAATGGCCTAAGTACTCCAGTTCTTGCTGGGCAAACTCGCACTTGTCGCGGTTCGCCTTGTACTTGGCGATACGAAGCCGCTCCAAAACGGCGCGAAGGTGCTCGAGATACTCGTCCAGCGTCCGGCTATAAACCAAGATGTCATCGAGGTAAATGAGCACGGTGCGGTCGAGTACGTCGCGGAATTTCGTTGTCATGGCCGCTTGGAAAGTAGTCGGGGCATTGGTGAGACCGAAAGGCATGACGATCCACTCAAAGTGCCCATATCGCGTCTTGAACGCGATTTTGTACCGGTCTCTTGGCTGGATCTCAATCTGATGATATCCGGACTTGAGGTCAAGCTTTGAGAAGTACTTGGCGCCGCCGAGTGACTCGAGAAGATCATCGATCCGAGGGAGAGGGCCGGCGTTCTTGATCGTTTGCACGTTAAGTTTCCGGTAGTCGATGCTCAACCGAAGGTCCTTGTTGTCCTTCCGGACGAAGAGAACGGGAGCACCGTATGGCGAACAGCTAGGGCAAATCCAGCCCTTGGCTAAGATGTCGTCTAGTTGTGCCCGAAGCACTTGAAGTTCCTCTTCGCTCATGCGGTAGATACATCCGCGCAAAGGTACAGCGCCGTCTTCGAGAGTGATCCCGTGGCGTGTGGGCCGATCCGGTATGACTCCGGCGGGAGCTTGGAAGACATCCTCATAGCTGTCCAACAGCTCCTTGAGAAGGTAGGAGGAGAGAGAGAGAGAGAGAGAGAGAGAGAGAGAGAGAGAGAGAGAGAGAGAAGAGGGGAGCTGTAGAGGAAAGGAGGGAGAGAAGGTGAAGCCTTCCTCCCTGATACCTGGCTATGGTGCTGCAAGGGGGCCGGGCCGCTAACTGGCGAGGCGCCCAATGCTGCGCTAATCCGCTCTCCGCTGAACCTTGCTCTCTCCTGCTCCTCGCTGCTGCAGCGCTGCTGCTGCGCTAACCCTGAAGACTAACCTCAGTCCATACTAACTTACCAGACTGAGGCTGGTATCCAGCCTTTTGTAGTGCTGGGCCGGCCTCTTGCCTACTGGTACCTACCGGCCTGGACCGTTGATCTGAATCGACGGTCCAGATTCAAACTGGGTTTGGCGCCAAAATGTGGCAGCCTCTGAAACGCCGCCGGTTGGTCCTGGGCTGGACCGGTACCGGCCTCTGGCCGTTTGGGCCTAAACGTGCCCTGCCTCAGGCCTATCTGGGCCTGGTCTGAACCGTCGTCCCCCTAGGCTTACCCTGCCTACTGGGAACCGGGCCCTAACTGGGGCCCGTGTGGCTCAGTATGCCACATGCCCGGTAAACTGTAGGCAGAGAGGGAGAAGAGGATATATATTGTCACATAAATATGAACTAAAAACTAAAAGAGGATATATATATCGTCACAAATAGAACTGCCCGGTAAACCGTAGGCAGAGAGAGAGAAGAGGACAACAAACGAGGGGCTGTGACAAACTGTTTCGTCGGAGTTTCACCGACTCATCAGGAGGCTGAATATATTTCTATTTGACGATATATATTATATATAAACATATACAGGGTAACTGGCGTTCGGGACAGGCTGAACGCCCGAACTGGAACGAACTGGAACACCCGAACGTAACGGACCCCTTGGGGATGCGTTCGGCCGTTGAGGTCGAACGCGGACAAAAAAAAAAACAAAAATAAAACACTTCAAAAAAATCTGGAAAAAAAACAATATGTTATGAAGAAAAATAAAATAAACAACATTTGCCTGAGCATTACTTCCAAATTTCTTACCAAATTTGAAATAAAAATAAAATACGGAAAATAAAACTAATAATAAAATTAAAAAATATAAAAAATATCAGTGCTGGAAACCCGGTAGGACCGGGGGGTCCTCCCTCAACCGGAACTGGACCGGTCCTACCGGCCTGGGGCCGGTTCCACCCCGGTTGGCTGTAGCGCATCTTTTTTTTTTTTTTTTTTTTTTTTTTAGCCCATGGTGTTGTTGAGGCCAAGGACTAGACCCACAGTGATTGCTGGCAGCGGCAGCCGGTGGTTGTCCTGACAGGATAGGCCACCTTCCCTACCCTTCCCCACGTTAATGCTCCCAGCGCACCCCCTATCCCTACTATCCTACCTCAGTGTCAGGACCATCGTCCTACCAGTATCAAGGGCAGTCACCAGACAGCAGTGACAAGCACCCCCTAACACTATAACCCCCACCCTTCTTTTGGGTGGGAAGCACCGTCCCTACCCTGCCACTAACACCCCAGTGTGACCAGCACTCAGGACCATCACCCTACCAGTATGGAGGGCAACTTGGACGAAGCACCCCCTAACACTACAACCCCTACCCCCCTTTTCAAAGTTTTTGGGTGGGAAGTACCATCCCTACCCTGCCACTACCACCCCCACCCCCCTCTTCAAAGTTCTTGGGCAGAACGTCAACGTTTGCAGAAAGCCAGGTACGTTGTTGTCAATGTCTGCTGAAGCCCGTGCTGAAACCCCACCACTAACACCCTCACCATAAACCCCCCAACCCCCGACCCTCAACCCCTGAAATACACCCCCCCCCAACCCCCCAACCCCCCAAACGAAACTTCTCTGTTCAAAGTTTTCTTTGCGGATTCGGGGAGATCTCGGTGAGCGCAGTCCAACCGTGTCTTCAAAAAAAAATTAAAAAAAATCTTGACCCACTTTTGGACCCAACCGGAATTCCGGTTGGACCACCGGGGGTCCAACCGGCCCGCTTGGATCCGGGCCGGTCCAACCGGCCGGTTGCCGGAACAGCCATGAAAAATATAAAAATGAAAAGAGAACTATAATTAGTGAGTGAGCGAGCACATTTTCGACACCGCATCTTTGGCGATTTTTCATTTGTTTTTGGCATAGTTAAATGCCTTGAAATTTACAGATGTGTACTTCACAATGCGAGGATCTGGGTACTTGGCAGGCCTCCTAAGGGGCCCTGTTACAGAAGTGCCCGCCCTAAGTGAAGGCAGGCCTAACAAATCTCGAGAGGCCCTCTGCTGTCCATTTCGTATTTGGAGTCCAGGCAGTTGTGATGCGCCGGTTAGTTGAGGGAAACACAGGCCGAGCCGCAAAAACACTCCATGGCCTTGCAGGCCTTTCTGGAAATGCAGGCCCTGGGCAAGAATCGCAGCCTCATACACTGTCTGGGAGGCCCAACCGAAGGAGGCCCAGCAGCTGCAACAGAGGCACAGCCTCCTGGGCAAAGGCCCAGGCCAGCCAGGCCGCCGGGGCAGGCTGGCTCTTTCCAAATAGGAAAGAGCTTCCTGGGCTCTCATTCATGCACTTGCCAGATGATGCGGCAGCGCTGCTGGAGCAATTGCTCGCGGTCTGCTGAGCGCTAAGGGCAAGGTGCTGCGCGCGTGCGTTCGTGCAGGAAGCAGGGCGCTGCTAAGGGCAGCGCCATAGCCCAGCCTCCATAGCTGGCTGGGGCTTGGACTACAGTGAGGCGCAGAGGTGGTCTTTGGGTGTACAGAGGGAAGACGTGGGTGTAAGTCGAGGGAGAGAGAGAAGGATGATGATGATGATGATGTGAGGGCACATACCTGGTATTGGCGATGGTCTGCATTGGGCGACATCTTCAAGTACTTCGTGGGCTGCTGACGTCAACAGTTGCATTGTCAATTTGTAGAAAGATAGTAGCTGTGTAGGAAGTAGGCTGGACGCTGAGCGCCAAGTAGGGAGAAGGTCCTGGACTCTTGTGTTGGTGGTGGCGAGAGCAAGCTCTCATTGACATTGGTTTTCAGTGTTACGATTCTCCATTGGTGTCACATTGGTGCAATACTGCTTTCTGGACACAGTGATACTTTCTGGCTTTCAAGGTGATTGTGCAGTCTGGATATTGTCATCGCGCTATTGCTCATTTTCCTNGGTGCAATACTGCTTTCTGGACACAGTGATACTTTCTGGCTTTCAAGGTGATTGTGCAGTCTGGATATTGTCATCGCGCTATTGCTCATTTTCCTTGCAACAAAATACAGAACTCATTAAAAAATATTCAAAAAATATTAAAATTGTTTAGGCCCCGCAATAAAGTGAAAACAAAAAGTAAATCAGACTCGCGTTCTTCTTCACTTCGCATACATGTAAACAGATGGCAATTCACACTGGCGCTGTGCACCCACACAAAGCTCAGACATAATCAAGCCGAGAACACAGTTCAGATACAAACTCGCTTCCAGCTGGCTATGGCACCTGAACGCCCACACGTCCTCTGTCCAACACTGTGTTCACCCCACTGTTCACACGCACTCGACTCCGGATCTCCCTGAATATCCCACGCACATACACTCTGCAACTCACACACACACACACGCTGAACTCTGCCTCTAAGGTACAGCGGCTATGGCCGCCTAACCCCTACTGGCTATGGATACTCTTATCTTCCTTCGGCCCACTTCGACCTCGGGCAACGCTACCCTTGGTTGAGTTACTCCATAATAAATACAGGAAGGAGACCGGACACCTACTTCTTTGCGTCTTGCTTTCGTGTCCAGCAAATCTTGCTGCACTTCGTGCCTGCCTTCGGTCGGCGTCCGATATCGACGAAATACGCCTTTTCGGCGCACCATAAACCATGCCCAAATAGCCAAGACCACCTCGCACAAGACGCTAGGGCAGCGCTCGCATGGCTCACGCAGGAATGAATGAATGGCTGGACGCTGCCTCTTCATTTATCCTTGTGTAGGTCGTTGGTCTGCCCTTTTCCACCGGGCCCGTGGTGCACACAGTCCCTCATGGTATATGCTGACGGTGCAAAGTGAGACTGGGACTGGGTACCGCTGACTAAGCGAAGTTGGACTCACCACTTGACCACTTGCCTCTGGCCTGCTGTGTATAACGTGAGAAGAAATTTGAAAGGCCACTTCCGGACCTTCCGGAAGTTTGCGGACTTGGCCTTTCAGGACTGTAGCAGCTACGACCTTGAGCTTTCAGGACTGTAGCAGCTACGACCTTGACATTTCAGGACTGTAGCAGCTAAGACCTTGACCTTTGAGAACTTCAACAACTATGACCCCTATGCAGGTGTGACCCCTACTTCGACAGGTCTAAGGTTCAAGACCCGACAACTACTCAGACCTACGACAGACAACTTTCAACTACTAACACACAGGTCACGGGTTCAAGATACACAGGGTCGACTTGATACTGTACACGGGTAAGGTAAGGTAAGGTAAGGTAAGGTCCGGGGATCAAGCTCTGCGATCCGCATCTGTGACTGCAAAAAGGTGAAAAACCATTTCAAGTAAAAAGTGAAAAAAAAGAAATAGTGAGTGGGCGAGCACGTTTTGACACCGCCATCGTTGGCGATTTTTCATTTTTGTTTGGCTTAGCAAAATGACTTCAATTTTTTTTTAGGCATATACCTTACATCATACAGAACTTAAAAAAAAAAAAAAAAAAAAAAAAAACCCTTAGTTTTAGGCCCCGAAATACTTTTTGGTGGGGGCCGAATGCCGTTCTGTTTGGAACCCAAACGGGACCCCAGACACGTGTACTACAGCAGCGCAGCTCGGCTATGGCTGCCTGCTCTTTCCAGCTCACCCATGAGCGTGTGAGCCTGGCCAGCGTTAGCGCAGCATGCAGCCAGTGCCCGAATGCCGAATGTGTGGGCAGGCACTTTCCTAA